TGGGAGGAGGCGGAAACTTTTTTTTTCTAAAAAAAAAATAAAATTTAAAAAAAAAGAATAAATGATCTCTGATACATTACAAAAATCCTATACATATATTAGCTGTCCTGTCATTATCTTCATAACCTTGATTCTTTTTATAATTATTAATAATATATCTGAAGATATATTATCTTTAAAACTTAGTAGGAAAGCAGACAGCTTTCTGTGTGAGCTGACATTCCTTGCCCCACATGAAGAGGGACTACTGGGGAAGAGTCCAGAGGAGGTGATGAAGGCCAAGAGTCTGCATGTCTTGATTGACATTTCTGCGGGGCCTGATGTAGTGCCTCCTGCCCTGCTCTGTGACTGCTTGGAAAGGAGAAAAAGAAAAAAAGAAAAAAGAAGCAAGCCTTCCCAAAGCTGGAAAAACTCATTCTGAGACCCCAGAAATGGGGCAAAAGTTCTGTTTATCAAAAAACCGATCTCTTTGAAGTTTCATGTTGGGAGAAGTCACGAAGGTTCAGCACAGCACTCTGATCTCATTAAGGGGAAAGGAAATCCTTGGGCAATGCTGTTCACAGCTTAATCGTGTAGGTTTCAGCACTCCTCAAGGAAAGTCCTGGCCACACCAAAGAGCCATTTTTTTTTTTTTTACAAAAAATCTGACATCTGTAATTTTAGACTGAGAAACACAATGATTTGTGGAAGGAAAAAAAAGAGTATATAGCTCCAAAAGTGCCTTTGATGGAACATTATTCCCCAGTCATACCACACAGTTTACACACACACACAAACACACACACACTATGTATAATATATAATACAATATATTTTATATAACATATAATGTCTAATGTGTGTGTGTTTATATGTTAGATCTTTAATTGCACTCAACCCTGAGTTTTCAACAGCAAGAGTACTGTAGAGAAATTGGATAAGAACGAAGGGGCCCAAAGAAGAACATTAGTAAAGGGTGGAGGTCAATTTGTAACATCTAAATGCATTCAAAGTCCATGCTCCTAACCATTGAGACAACATATATTCTATTACCAAAATCTCCTTGCACAAAAAGCTAGCTTATTCCAGGGGTCCATGAAAGAAGTAACACTGATTACAAACTACCAGCAAAATGGAAAGACTTAGTAGAAAGGTGTTTAATATCGAGTCCTGTATCTTCAGGAAGAGTTTCTTGAAGTAGCTTGAAGTCTTGATAACACGGACTGCCTTTCATAGCAGGCTTTTGGGACATACCGGAGACAATATTTCACTGTAACCCAGGAGAGACTCTGGCCCTAGATAGGAAATTCACCCCAAAGCATTTTCACAAGTTCTGCTCTACTCTCAGAATCGCTATCAACAGATTGACTTAGGTCATTTTAATGGGTTGTTTGCTTGTCTGGAACTGTCTCTCTGATTAGAAAGCAATTGTTTCACTGCAGCTTGAATAAAACTAAAGACTCAATTAATAGATCCATGGATGTATTATTGATCAGAAAAAAATCTGCATGTGTGAAGATGGTGAGTGACTCAAGGTTGCACAGCAACAAGGACTCAAACATCTGTGTCAGGGCAATGGTTTTACCACAGTGGAACTCTTCAAGGTGATTCCTTAATAATTGCCCAAGATGAATATGGTATTATTGAAATGCAGTAATCACTGATAGACCTTCCTCGTGTACAGATGTTCTTGTTAAAATATGTGGATACTTGACATGAAATATTAAGCATAATTTCCCAGTGATTAAAAAATGGAATTAAACAACAAATACTGCTCAGGCATCATGAGAGTCAGGACAATTTGCTGGATGAACTTGGCCCTGGGGACAGACTGTCCAGGATTCGGGTGTGTTAATTTAGTCCCTATGCCTCTGTTTTCCATCTGATAGTGGGGGTATTTATGGCTCTTACAGCATATGTTATGGGGAGGAGTGAAGAGATATACCTGAAACAGTTATGACAACACCTGGGAAAGGGAACATCCATCCAGGGCTAGTCATTAGCCTGTCAAGTTCATGGACAATGTAAGGAAGTTATGATTCAAGGACTTTTGGCCAAGTAAATCACTGCTTTTCTTTTCAAAACCTTCCTAGAAGTCTTAGAAGGAACAGGAGGTAATGAAGAAACTACAGAATTTGCAACTAAAAGACACAATCATGAATCTGTCTTCTATTCTTTTTTTTAAAAGATTTATTTATTTATTATGTACACATTCCTTCCGTGCATGC